TGCCGACTCATTATGCCTTTACGTACAACCTCACAATCACTGCTAAGCTTGAGCCCATTGCTGCTGCTATGGTTCTAATCCATCTTGTTGGGGGTCTTCCTCTTTTCCATGGACCCTCCACTTTACCAAGCATGATGTCCTTCTCCAGGGACTGGCCCCTCCTGATACTATACCCAAAGTATGCGAGACAAAGTCTCCCAGTTCTGGCTTCTAAGGAGCATCCAGCTGCACTTCTTCCAACACAGATTTGTTTGTTTGGCAGTCAATGGCACTTTCAGTATTCTCCTCCAACACCATAACTCAAAAGCATCAATTCTTCTACCATCTCCTTATTCACTGTCTAGCTTTCACATGCACATGAAGTTATTGAAAATACCATGGCTTGGGTCAGGTTACCTTAGTCCTCAAGCTGACATCTTTATTCTTGAACACTTTAGAGAGGTCTTGTACAGCAGATTTGCCATCTGTACCAGCCACACTTTTGGAAATCCTACACAAGGTCCCTGTGGTCTGAGGAATGGCTGGTGGGTTTGAACCACCAACCTTGTGGTGGTTAGCAGCCCAGTGCTTATCCTACAGGGCCCTACTAGGACTCCAACCCTAGGTATACGGAATCAGAATTTCATTTTTAACAAGCTCCCCAGGTGATTCTTCTAGTTACTTGTTGTTTATTTTCAGTTTCCTTCCCTAGACTCTGAGGTACATGGAGCATCTTGTTTTTCTGCTTTGTTTTTCACTTATATACCAGCTTTCTGCCTGGTCCCTGGTTTATTGTAATACACAATGCTGTCCCGTACCACACTATACTATACTATGCTACTTCTTTTTATAAAGTTTTTTATTGTGAATTGTAAAAATTTACAGGGCAGATCATCAGTTTTACATTCAACAAATCATACACCTTATTTCATTACAATGATTATAATCCCCTCCATGTACCACCAGTTAACAGTATTCCTCACTATTCACTTTAGCTTTCTCTCCCTTTTTTTAAACGCTTAGGCATATATAATAGTTTACATCACCAAAAGACACATTCTGCAAGTCTGCCTCCTGGCCGCCAGTACTCAGTCCCTCTCTTCCCATGAGTCCTCAACTACTTGAGGCAATGAATGAAAAAAATTAAAGAAAAACTTGAGAAAGCAGTTTTTTGGGACCACCACTATGGTGATAACCAGTCAGGCTGTGGGTTGGTAGTTTCTAGACAAAAGTCAGACTACTTGCATTTGAATCCTGTGACGTCTCTTAGTAATTGTAGGAGCACAGGCAGGTGAAATTGACAATTTTTTCATGTGTAGATTGAGGATCATAAGGTAGCTACCTCACTCATAATGTTGTGGAGAATAAAATAATATATTAATGCTTAGTGTAGTGCTTTGCAACAGGGAGCCAGTTAATAACTTTTAGCTATTAATAATAATAAATGACTTGTACCCTATTTCTCTTTGGCTCCAGTCTTGCATGAAGTCAGTGAAGAGGTCTTTGGTTTTCCCCTCCTCTTCAACCGTTTGCTGTTGATTGGAATGGAATGCTTTGATGGGTGGTATTTTTGGAACCCATAAGTATTTTTGAAGAGATTTATAAAAATTGCATTTAAGTTTTCAACTTAATTTATTTCTGTATTATTTTCAGTCCTATGTGCTAACAGGTAGAGTGGCGGATGGGTCAACAATATCTTGTTGTTACTAAGACCCGGTGAGTCAATTCCGAGTTATAGTGACCCTGGGTAGGGTTTCTGATGGTGGACTTGAACCACCTATCTTGCAGTTCAAACTGACCTTGCGGTCCAGTGCATTATCCTACAGTGCCACACCAGGACTCTAACAATATCTTTGCAGTTTGTTTTTAAGTCCATGTGTGCTAAGGATAGATTCCTAGGAGGTTGGTAAAGGGAGAAAGGAAGGGTATCTTCTCAAAAGAGGACTGGGGGTGGGGTTGGAAGTATTACTGGTATTGTGATTTGCTGTCAATTTGATTCTAAATAACCTTGGGAAATTGGAAAGTTTCCAATAATTTGAAAAACTATCCAGATTACCTATGTTATTCTTATTTTCATTTAGTACTTCTGCTCAGTTGAACTTTTCATAAAGTCTTGAGAATGAAATGAAATATACTTAAGTGCTTTAAAAATGAAATTGGTGCTAAATTTATCTTCTGTAAGCTTTGCTTTGGAATTCTAAATATACGCATTTTAACTAAACCTGCCACTTAGCAGTTGTGTAACTTTTCTAATGATTTCATCTCTTTTGAGTCTTTCTCTTCTTCTATTCATGTCACAGGATTGTTGTCAGAATTGATGTCTAGGAGATGAGGAATGGAAGGAATAGAAAGACAGGGACCAAGTCTTAAATGCCCTTCGATGTCCAAAGGATCTGAAGTTAGATCTTGGTAGGTACAGAAGAACTTTGAGCAGCATAGGAGCAAATGTTGTCACATAGAATCCTATGAGGTAGAGAGTTTTATCCGTAATATACAGATATGGAAGTGGATGGTCAGAGAGGTAAAATGCGAGACTCAAGTTTAGAGGATCAAGTGTAAAGTAAGGACTCCATTCCATTTGTGTCTATCTACTGAGCCCAGGGACTGTCCCTGGAGTCGATTCATACTCATAGTAACCCTAGGTTGTTGTTGTTAAGTGTTGAGTCAGTTTCCAAGGAGTAAAACTACCTCCTAAGAGTTCCTAGATAACGTGTAGAGTGAGGACTCTGTTCCATTTGTGTTTGGCTGCTGAGCCAGGCTCTTTCCATTGCAGTGTTTAACCTGGAGTGGATTCCAACTCATAGTAACCCTATGTTGGTGGTGGTGAGTTTGAACCACAGACCTTTAGGTTAGCAGCTGAGTGCTTGATCACTGTGACACCAGGAAGCCTTTATCCGTTTCAGTAGAGTTCTATGTTCTGGAGGGATGGAATCTGGGAGGAGGCTGCTTTCAGGCATCTGTGCCCTGCTTAAAGGCTCTCCTCTGGTAGGTAGACCAGTGCTGAGGCTGGGAGACTGGGCGCTCTCTGCTTCCACAGAAGTAAGCTGAGGTATCCAGCCACTTTGGTGATGCTCTGAGCACCTGCAGCTTTCGCATGGGAACTCAGAGTTAGGACAGTGAAGTCAATTGAACAGTTTAGAGAAATGTGAAACAAAATCCCAAGTTGACTCCCAACTATCTGGAATGTTTGCGTAAAGTGAACGAATGACTCACTTGAGGATGGGATTGTAAAACTTGTATGTTGATGAGCTCGTTCTAGAGAGACAAATAAAATGACAGCCTCTGCTTAATGAGCCCTCAAAGGTTGTTAAAGCTTGGGCGAGGTAGTGAAATTCGTACCTGCTGAATGACTGCTACAAATAGCGGCTCCACCCAGGTAACGTTGCTAGCATTAGAACTGTGATACCTGCCAAAGTGTGTACATATTTTGGTGACGATCAAACAAGGCCATATAAGGCAGGAGACAGGTGCCAAAAACCAAAGTCCTCTATGCAATTAACTTTTCCTTTGGGTCCCCAAAATTCAAACTTGGGGATCATTAGCAAGAACTCTCTGGTTGATAGTAATTGCTTCAAGCACATAGACAATACACAGATGAAACCCTA